CCAATTCAGGGCTGGCCAAAAGTTAATGCATGTTGTTAAGGGCATTATCCAAATGCCTTAAAGACTGGCAGGGCATTGTCCACCCCTCTAGGGACCCTGTTCCAGTGTTTGACCACTCTCTTGCTAAAGATATGCTTCCTAATGCCCAGTCTGAACCTCCCTGACCTACAATCTTCTGATGCATAGATTTGCTATATAGCCATAACTTTGATGACTGTACAGCTGACTCATGATTCTGAGTGCCCACGCTGATTCAGCAATGCCTATTCCAAATCAACGTAGTAACTAATGAACGGATGAAGAACTTCTTCCTTAAAAAACTTCCTTGATACAGGGTGGTGTCAAACATTGCACTGATCCATGATATAATGAAGTTGCTTTACATCTGAGACGGGTTGAAAAAAATAAAGGGGCTAACTGTAGTCTGTTACTAAAAATGGTTAGTTACTTTGATGCTGGATCCAAACAAAGAGTTTTCTTTCTCTTCCATTTTTCTCCCCCTTCCTTTTGATACTGTGTTCTAGTTACCTTGTATAATGTTTAAGGAATTGTATCTTGTATAAAATACGAGGAAAAAAAGCCCCAAACCCTATATATTTAAACCAACTGAAATTTTCTGAAGAACACTCGCAAGCAAGCGTAACAGTTAATATAATGCTAATATATTGGGTGCTTCTGCCAAACAGGTGGACTCTAAGAGATTTGGTAAATCCATAATCCTAAACTTTACTGTTCTTTGGAAGACATTCAGTATGGTTTTGCACCTCTGCCCACCAGTAATTCAAAGTAATGTTCTGAAGGCTGAAGAGTATTTGGTTTAATTATTTCTTAGATTGCAGTGTCTAAACTATCAAACTCAGGCTGATATGTAATCAAATCCACTGTGCTTTTTAATCTATGCTTAAATAAAGTAACATTTCCATTTTGTTCTTAGAAGTTTCTGTTAGGCCATCTCTAATTATAATTAGGGGAAGAGTGATTGGTGTTTTGTAAGATGGCTGTCTTTTCAGATAATATATCTGAAAATACCAAATGATTGTCATATATGCTTTTTATTAAATTAAATATTTTTTGTTTTAAACTGTATGCAGATGTAATTCATTTACAAATATCTTTCCCATCTTACTGCATTTAAAATGGCGTGTGAAGTGTGTTTTGAAGAGTTTAATAGACAAATTTGTAATGCTTGATATGACAATACATAGGAGTGATTTTTTTTTTGTTCCTTAATTATGCCTGATGTGTAGATGTGAAGTATCTGATTCTTGCAGGTTTTGCAGAATTTTTGTGGGCCTGTGTAATAATAGGTGTTAATATTTTGTGACAATAATATTATGTGAGCTTTTGGGCAGTGTTAGCAGAAGTGAAAGCATATTATGAATAATCTTGTGAAAAACGATGAAGAAATCCCAAATGAATTACAATTTGTTTCATGTATGGAATAAATCTTTGTGAATGGAAAGCAAGTGGAAGGTTTGAGGTAAATCTGTTTAATCCAAATTTTGAATATTTAATTTCGGTATCGTATAAAAAAATAAATTTTTCCTATTAAACCAAATTAAATTAAGAAGTTATGAAAAGTTAGACTAGCTATAGTTTGTGTGGTTATTTTCACACTTAACAGGAGATATTTATTTGAAAAGAGCTTCAGCAATTCTTATTCTAGACACTAGGTGGTGTTTCAGCCTTAGTACTGAAATGCAGTCCTAGGTACAGTGCCACTAGTACTTCAGGTACTTAAATAACAGTTAGAGATGTTAGAGATGTGAAGAGCATATTTTTTCCCATATTTTTCTTTTCACATTAGTAGCGTTCCCATGTTGAGAAGAACTGATTCCCACAAATTGCAACACTGATGTTCATGTACAAAATGTGTTCAGACCATTGAACTCTTTAGAGCAGTGGTTAGGAGATTTGAAAATGGGTGTAGTGGGTACTGTGCCTATTTCAAAAAGTGCAGATTTCTAATGGAAGGGGTTATTCCTTTTTAAGTACTACTTTACAAGGGAGACTTCTGTGGTTGTTCTTTGCAGGTATGTCAAAATGCATGTATTAAACATGCAGTCCACTTGTGTAGCCTCCCCTTTACTTCTCTGCCAAGTTGCTGTCACAGTCCCATGAAATGCTGTGTCCTGGCAGGGACTTGGCAGGAAGGACAGAGCTTCTCTGCGTGTATGTGAGCTGCTCAACAGTATGTTGCAGACACCTGGGGGCAGAAGGAGAAATCCTGTCGATTAATATGCCACTTTCCCATCTGTGCTCTTATAATACTATCTTACATGCATGTCTGTCATTTAATTGAGAGGTCTGCACTGTAAATTACCAGTATTTTTTAAATTGCAAGAATGATTCTACATGTTATGGTAAGATGGAGAAGTCAGTTAGCCCTGTACTAATTGGGGACTTGAATTTCTTGGTGATCACTGAAGCATGCAAACTTTATGTGTCTGTCACAGTGTGTCACATTCTGCTCATTGTGTGTGATTAATTGAAATTAGAAGTATAGTTGCTTGGGTCAACACTATGCAAGTAGGAATGTTGAAAGTACATTGGAAATAAGGCTTTATCAGAAGTCTTACCTATTAGTATTATGAAACAGTCTCAGAAAGGCAGAAAAAAACCTGAAAAATATATAAATTTATGCATTTTTTCACACTAGAATTTTCTTTGACATGAAATGCCGTAAGTAATTTTTTCTTTAAAAAAATGGTCAGGAGTCAAGTTAGATGAGGAGTAATCTTCCTGACTCTACTTTTAGAGGAGGAGATATTAAATCATGTTCATTCAGAAGGACCTCTCATTCTGCTGGGTACAAGAGAATAACACTGGTCATGCTGGAGTGCACTGTCCTTGGAAAAAATGTGGCTGCCAGCCAAGGACATAGTTGCTCAAGTGTTTAGACTGTGATATCTAGTTTTTGTGACATTTTAACATCTACTAATAGAAGCAAAATTAGCACACAAAAGCTTTGGGAGATTTTATCTTGTAGTTATTCAAATTATTATATATTTGTATACTTAAATGGTTGTTTCAGATCTGGCCCTTTCATTGCACTGGCAAGTATATGGAAAGTTTAGAATGTCTTTCAGATGTGTACAAACCAGGCAGAAATACTAAAGGCTTTTAGTTGCTATCAATTAAAGAGGCTAAAAGTACTTCTGTCTTTGCTGCTGAAATTTCAGTTTGGATCTTTCTTGTACTCTCTAACTTAATTAGAGAAGGCAAAACAGACCTACTCTTAAATTTCTGTTTGAATGATGGCCAGGCCTAAAGCATACACAGACCTTTGTTCTCAGGACATCTAACCTACTTCAGACAGTGAGCTGCTATTCATGGAGTCTCTCTTTTTTACCCTCAGTGCTTTGACAGTTTGTTCTGTCTTGTTGAAATAAGCAGACATGAGTCCTCATAGATGGAGTGTCAGCATTATGAAAAGTTAAGAAGGAACTTTACCAGGATGGGGCATATTGCCATCATTAAATGGACAAGTGATACCTCCTTTTCCTGCCCCAGCCTGGCAGTCTGTGAATGAGGCAGTCAGTATGCCTCATTTGTATATGAACGTTGCATCCGAATAGCCTTCTATATGAAGATTTCATCAGAGTGTTTATGGTGACAGCATGACTTAGGTTTTCTATAACTGCCTGGAGAATAAAAGTAAGATACAGATTGCGACTTCTGAAATCTTTTCTGGTGGACTGAGGTAGATGTATTGTGGAGGTAGAAACTACATTTTCCATGTGACCCAACCATCGAGCAAGCTGCATTTAAAAGAATATGCAAGCCTTTGAAAGTCCTATACTGTAAGTCCTTGAAAAAGAGGCAGGTAGACGTAGGGTTAGAACTGGAGGCATGATAACTAGATTGAAGGCCCAGTGTAGACATTCAAGGAACAAGTATTACAAATAATATTATTTTGTCTGAGAACTAAACCAAAAATATGTAAAGAACAGAAGAGCTGAGTTAAGACTAAATAAAAATGAAAAATAAGGAGTGAAGAACTAAACTTGCAGTGAATTAGTGCTGTCTAGAGTCCAAATTTTAACCCAATAACCAGTTTGAAAGTGCCATTTTATTAGTAGTTGGTCTGTTGTATTTGATTGATTACATCCTGATTTATTCTCATATAACATAAGAACTGAATGTGAAATTAACTTATGGATAATTGGCATTTGCAATTTCCTGCACTGCCATGTGACTAAGGTGATGGGATAAAAAAGCTTTGCAAGAAAGTACATTTTAGAATATTAAAAAAAATCTCATTACTATGCGCAGGATCTCACATCTGGGAAGCTGTAATCATTTTAATAATTCAGTAAGCATAAAGTGAAAGCTAAGTCTTGCCTATGAAGTGGAGAGACTCACCAGCTTATATAGCCTATTACTTTACTTATAGAATGGTTTTAGTTTACAGTAGCTTTGAAAATCAAGTAATTTCTTGAAGTGAGCTTATTCATGTAAATATAAGATACAGACCACTGCTGAAGTAAATCAGCAGAGCATCTTTGAGAATTATAAAATTACTTGTTTGCAAAAGTGAAGAATCTATTCCAAAATTCCTTCTTCTGACTTAGTAAGAGAACAGATTAAATGTTTAATGATTGATTTTTTTTAATTCCCTTTTCCTATCATCCTTTCAGTCTCAACCTATATACTTAATTTTCAAATCTTACATTTCCTGCTATTTGAATGTCAATATAGAGATCCTTTTCATTTGCACTGCTGCTGTCTGTTGCTTTCTCTTGTATTATAAATGATTAAGCAAAGGTAGAATGAAAGTATTTTTGTGTTTGCATTTTTTTCTAAACCAATATCCTCCAAGGTTCTACAGGCATATTTTGTTAGGCTGTGGCTAACTATTGTAATTTTAACAGAAAGTATTAAAATAGTATTATTTTTACCTTTGGAAATGGCAACAATTAGTTGCTGTATGCTTGATGAAAACTTTGTATATAGTGTTTACAAACTAACAGGTTTTCCATTTAAATATGTCTGAACAGGTAATGTGGGTATGTAACTTGTGCCGAAAACAACAGGAAATCCTCACAAAATCAGGAGCCTGGTTCTATAATAGTGGATCGAACGCACCGCAGCAGCCTGACCAAGAAGGTAATAGAGGTCAGCGGAATGAGGAAGCACCTCAAGAGAAAAAAGCAAAGTTGCAGGAGCATTCACAGTACCAAGGACCGCCAGGTGACATATCCACACAAGTTTTGGACAAAAACAGATCACAAGGGCTCACAAGACAAGACTCAATTAAGAATGGTTCAGGTGTAAAGCATCAAGTAACAAGTGACACAACATCAGACAGGTAAGAAAGTATTTGGTGTTTATACTGATATGATCCACTGAAATTATTCAAAAATGTTATCTTTTAAAATTTTATCTTATTTTTATGTTGTAGCCTATAAGATACTTCCTGGGCTTTTTGAAACAAGCCTAAGAAGCACCAGCTGAGGGGTCTCTTATTGTATTCAGGTGGTCATGAACAATGTGTGTTCCTTATTCCTTGTTATTAAAAAAACAACATGGAAAATGACAATCGCAGTGTGATAGAGCTTGTCCAAGTGCTTGCAGCTTTGTTGAATCATAGTCATTGCACTGTACAGAGTGTTACCATGTGTTTTTTTAATGGCTGCTAGCTTTATAGCAGAATTTTAGTAATCTGAAACAGGGCTCAAAAAGCAGGTTAATGGAAGGTGATGGCTGTTCATACTACTGAATTAAAACATCTGGCAGTAGTTGCAGTATTGAAGTATTGGAGATACTTTGTGTGATACTTTGAAATCTTTGTGTGGTGACCTGAGTCTTTTCATGGCTTTTAGGGGGCCTACGAGGATGCTGGGGAGGGACTCTTCATTAGGGACTGTAGTGATAGGACAAGGGGTAACGGGTTGAAACTTAAACAGGGGAAGTTTAGATTGGATATAAGGAAGAAATTCTTTACTGTAAGGGTGGTGAGGCACTGGAATGGGTTGCCCATGGAAGTTGTGAATGCTCCATCCCTGGCAGTGTTCAAGTCCAGGTTGGACAGAGCCTTGGGTGACATGGTTTAGTGTGACGTGTAGAGGGGTTGCAACTAGATGATCTTAAGGTCCTTTCCAACCCTAACTATTCTATAATTCTATGGCTTCTCAGTTTCTTACTGTTAGTTATTGTCGTTAGTATGAGAATTTTTTTCTTCACTGGTTTATCTCAGTGTTACTTGGCATTGGGTGAAATTGTAGCTGTTTCAGCACTAGTGTAGTAAGATCCAGTTTAGTCAGAGAATGGAGTTTTCCCTCCATTTTCTTGATGTGATTGTACCAAAAGGCAACGGAATCACAGAATCCCAAGGGTTGGAAGGGACCTCAAAAGATCATCTAGTCCAACCCCCCTGCAAGAGCAGGGTAACCTAGAGTACATCACACAGGAACTTGTCCAGGCAGGCCTTGAATATCTCCAATGTAGGAGACTCCACAACGCCCCTGGGCAACCTGTTCCAGTGATCTGTCACTCTCACAGAAAAGAAATTTTTCCTGATGTTCACATGGAACCTCCTATGCTCCAGTTTACACCCATTGCCCCATGTCCTAAGGCACCAGAAGGCTCAACCTTTTGCTGGAACACAAAAGTAAAAATTGTTTCATTGAATGGATTTAATTTCTGAGGAAGACCATAATAGAACTTCAAGTACAGTGGAAAGGGAAAGAAGAGAGTGAGCTCTCTCATGTGTTTCCATGGAAATGATACCATCACTCTCCCAAGATTCTCCTTAGAATTTGGCGGCTGGAGCAGTATAATCTGTCAGCCTTCCTCTGCTGCCCAGCTATGACCTCATTACCACATTTATTCTGCAAGCTTGAAACAAGTTAGACATCTATAATATCTTTTACAGCTAATAAAATTGTTTTCCTTTTCACTCACCTTTTGTATTCCACCATATTTTATTTGGGCTTATTTGGGAACAAATTGAATGTAATTAATGTAAACATTTTTATTTAACTTCTTTTGCCTGTTGCCCTTTACTCTGGTTTCAGCTCATGGGTTCAGTATTTAGTGACTCTGAGTGTTCCTCAGTTATCTGCATGGTCTCTGAGAAATACTGGCACCTTAATTTGATGCTAAGGAGCAGGAGAGAGAGTATCATATATAATGGGATGATAACCCCCCCTCCAGCCTCCTTCCTGTTCTCAGCAATATTTCAACTCTAGAAGTGGTTTTATATTGTACACATGCAGAAAGAGAGAGGGAGAAAGTGATATACAAATAAATAGGTAATTCAGATATGTAACATGCACTTAACCAAAGTAGAGTTACATGATAAACATGGAAAGTATAAAGTATATTTACCAACAGGAAGAACATAGACTTTGTGCCTGAAATCAGATCTGTTCTGATGTTTGTGATCACATCTAGTCAACATATTCAAAACCAAATTGTTTTTCTCAGTCGTTATCCTCTTCTTGTTTTATTTGGATACTTATACTAGAGTTCACTAATTAACACGTACAAGTATGCTTAGAATATATTTGTGTTATATATCACATGATGTTGAAAATTAGAAGGTCTTCTGAATAGTTTTCTTCCCTAATGTTTCTCTTATTAATTAATTTTCTTTTGCTGGAGATAATGAAAAAGACTCCTCTTTGGTGCCTAATCAATGTCTGACTGGTCAAGTGGGTTTTTAGAGGAGAATATCAGTGTCTCTGAGAGCTATTATCCCAGAATTCAAGGATGGGATAGGCCTTAATTTTGGACCTGTATATGTCGTCGTGCCATTGCTATTCTCAGCAGTAATACTGGGAAGCCTTACAATTTTGTTACGTTCAACCACTGTTAAGAGCAGAAGATAACATATTATTATCTTTGTACTGGAGTCATGCATACAATATGTTTCATAATTTGATATATAATTTCAGTATTAAAATTTATAAATCTGTACATGTTCTGCTTATTATTATCAACTAAGTTAAGAAAACTCATTTTATCTATTTGAAGTTTGTAGTTGTGGTCAAGCAATTTCCTGTAGGCTTCCTAAAGTCTTTTCTTCTGTTTTTTTAATGTTAACTGCAAGAATCACCTTGTAGAGAAGCATGTTTTATGGGAGATCATTGTGGCAGGGTTTTTTTTCTATTCTTAAATTAATTCTATGCAGAAATGGAGCTATTCTGGTATTATAGAAAGTTGTCTATATGAGCTAATTCTAGGAGAAAATTATGGCTATTCAGATGTCTAAAATAATAGGGAAATAGCCAAAAAAGTCTCATATATTTAAAAGTGATTGTATTTGGAGGCTTAATTTTCTAGCATCCTTTTTATCTCAGGAAAAAAGAGGATTTTTATGTTGGTTTCCACACACTACAGTGTGGTTGGGGAATACGTTTTATTTTAAGAACTACAAGCAAGACTGTTGAGCCTACTTGGGTCTGAAGATGCAGGTTTTGTGCACATGTTCTTTATGGACTGTATATATGTGTTTTCCCACATAGAAAGGTTTTATTCTATTGCATTACCAATGGCGGTAGAATGAAAGTGGTCCCCAGAGTCCCTTTGCTTTCATTCTTGGAAGAACTGGCAGTATGAGTTGGCAGCGTAGGCTCTGTCTTTTGGGACTGCTGTTGGGGATGTTGGTGTGTGAAGAGAGTGAAAAAAGAGACCAAAATAAGAGGGAAGAGAAGGAGAGAAGAAAAAGCAGGCATAAACTAGCTGAGAATCATCAAAAAGTAGCATGAATTAAATAAATGAAAATGTCTGCCCCTCTGTTTCATGTTATATCTTTTTCAAATGTCTCTTCCTTAATTACTGGATTATGATTAAGTGATACTGAGAACATCGCTGATGGTAGTTTATTGCAATTTAAAATATGACAATGTAACATAAAGCATCAGACAATTGCATTTCCTTCTGAAAGGCTGGAAACTGGCCACTTCCCAAGATTATCACTATTTTTCTTCTGCAACATAGATGACACAGCACTGTAGTGCAGCCTTTGATTTTGATTATTTCTATTTCTGAATACCTGAGTTGATCGATCTTTAACCCAGGTCTCTTCAAAAGTGTACTATCTTTACTTGGACCTGTGGAAATGAAGCATAGTTGGAAGCAATCTCAAGTAAAATAAAGATGTTTTAACTTTTAACCTATGTTTTTCTACCTGCTGACTTTTTTAAAGCCAGTGAAATATTAAAAGTAATGTATACAGACTGTTTAAAATAATGCAGTTGATATCCAAGGCTCATACGGACAGTACTTTGTGCAGATTTGGTTGTGTTCAGAAGTATCCATTAAGGACAAAAGGATCTCTAAGCTTTTTAGAATTCTTTATGTAAGAATTACCAACCTGAATAGTTTTTTTTATCACTGTTGACCATTCCAGTAGAAAGAAACCACAATTGTTGAGAAAGCATAATGATATTCCTTCACTTCATGAATAAATCTAATAATTTGTACAAGTATTTTGCAGGTTGAGTTTAAAATTGAATAAATACTCTTTTCCATGCATGGCTGCAAAGAGCTGTCACTGACTTTTTCTGGTGCTAGAACAGGATGCAAAAATTGGGCATTAGAGGTACTCTACAGTGTTTTTTAACATATTAACTGAAGTTTCAAGGTTTAAAGGAATTTGAACTGCATCCAAATAAGGTTTTATCTTCCTGCTCCTGTTCCAGCATTTTTCACCACTTTGATAGTCCATGGAGCTCTAAAGTGAAACCAGTGTCAATCTGAAAACAGTAGTCTCGGTAGTTTTGCTTTTGTTTCTTGTGGTGTCTGTCTTCCATTTCAGTGTATGTTTTGTATGATTCTTGAGGTAATAACTTAGAGCAAACAAGTTTCTTCTTCATAGAACTCCTCTTTTAGTTATATCAGTCCTCTTCATACAGATTTAGGGAAGTGGATCAACATTTCAGGGCTACTCCAGTTTTCAGGTAGAAACTAAAGCTATGATTATCTCCTGTCTCAATCTAGAATAAAATGGAAATTAATAATAACTATGGGCTGGGGAAGCAATAGAAATTTATGGGAAGAGAGCCAGAGAAAATGCGGTATTTAATCATTACATTAAGAAGTACCTTGGGTCGACAAAAGTCAGAAATCCTTTAGTGCAGAAGTTTTAATAAAATAATTAGACACTTATGACAAGGATTAAGCTATGCCTACTTATGAGGATGAGTAAGGAGTTTGGTACTATCTGTAATGCTGAGCCTCTGTAAGAAGGTCCTGAAGGGTACTGACTTTGTCCAGTAGCAACAGCCCAGACTACCTATAGCAGGTTTACTGTGATTCTACCTGCTATTGGTAGGTTGCAATGGATTGTAGCATCTTGATTCT